AAAAAATACTTTTTAAAATGTGACTAAAAAGAATCTATGAAAACCCTAGAGGAAATCTCAAATATACTGATAAATTATTAAACATAGGCTTTTTTTTTTTTTTTTTTTTCCGGAACCGGGGATTGAACTCAGATCCTTGTGTTTGCCAGTCACGTGCTTAGCCTACTGAGCCATCTCCCCGGCCCCTAGGCTTTTCAACATTATACCAGGTGAGGTGGAATATGCCTGTAATCCCAGCACTCTGGGAAGCTGAGGCAGATAGATCAAAAGTTGAAGCCCACCTTGGGCAACTTAGTGATTTATCAAAACCCTATCCTAAAATTAAAAAGGCTGGGACAAAGCTCAGTGAAGAGGCTCAGTACCTTTTCACCCAGAAAAATTAAGTATAGACAAGAAAACTCATGACTTTCCACTCCATACTGCACTGTCCAAAGTAGAGAAAAAAGGATTCTGCATGAGAAATAATAAAGGAACAGAACTATTATGATTTGCACATGTCTGCCCTCATAAAGATTCCAAAGGAACTCTACAGAACAAGTTCAGTGGGCTGAAGATTTTCATCTATTAAAGGTGAAGCTCAAGATGTAGTCAATAATGTTCCTACACATGTAACCTATTAAAAATATACCCACAGCAATCAAGGATATAAGATATCTTGAAATAATATACATGTAAGACCTGTATGCAATAAAACAAAACATTATAAAGGAACCAAAAGACCTCTGTAAACGTTGATGTGTAAATACTGAAAGGAAGACTCAATGGCATACACGTAGAAATTAATACAGAATTCCAATGCAGTTGGGATTTATGGGGAGCTTGCCCTATCAGTTATCGCTTATCCTAGCATTTGGTTCTCTGGGATTATAATAGGAGCATGACGCTTGGAGACTGTCAGTTTGAGTGACTGGAATCTGCTTTAGTCTCTCAAATAGTGGTCATTTCCTCTATGAGGAGAAGCTCAACTGCAGCACAGGGTTGAGCTTCCTGGGACATGCTGTGTTCCACTGACTGATGGAATATCCCAATATGCTTAATATTAAAGCAAGTGTTGAGAGCTCACACTCTTGCCTATGAGGATGGCGACTGTACTCTTCAGCACGGCATAGGGCATTGTAGAAGGGTTAGGGAGAGCCAAGAATTTACTCTGTTCATGTGCCTCGAATTTGTATACCTCAAGACAACAAATAACAGTAACAACTGGCCACTTACAAGACTAAAATCCACTAGAATAGAATAGAGATCACGTAATTCTATATTTAACTCTCGGAGGAACCGCCAGATTGTTTACCAATTTTTAAATTGCCTACTTTATTTTAAATTAAAAAGAAATAGTGTTGGGGCTGGTGAGATGGCTCAGTGGTCTAAAGCACCTACTTAGAACAAGTTTAGCAACCCACAGGGACCGCGGTTCAATCCCCCAGCACCACATGCCAGCCAGCCCCGCTCCCTGGTGGGCTTAGCTGGCCACACACACACACACACACACACACACAAATAAATAAAAGAAATAGTGTTGAATGTACT